GTCGCCCCCTGTTCCGCCTCGTCCCCAGGAAGACGGTCTGCTGAGGCGGGCTCGGACCGTTCCAGGCCATCCATATGCTGCATCTCCTCCAGTAATACCTCCAAAGCCCTCACTCGATACCCGTTTCCCGCGCAGAGTCAGCGAACCTCCACAAAGATCACATCCGGACCCTCCACAACTCCCGCTTCCACCTCCACCACCTCTGCCGCTAACAGAGCCTACCCAGCAATCACCAGAACCCCCTCGGGCGGCGTTAGACGACGATGCTGAGCTGGCAGAGCTAGCGGCGGTTATTGCACTATCCCAAGCAGAAACCTTGAGGCAAGTCCCCTACCCGCGCGGTACGATTGAGGTCGACTGATTTTGCTATTCAGGCAGGAGAAACTCAAGCTGAAGATGCTCAGCCAGGAAGAGGCCGATTTTAAACGAGCCATGGAGGCGTCCCTTTCCTCAAATTCGTGGTCTGCCGCTCTTGGAAGGCACTCGATTCAAGGAGGGCCTTCGAACGGAACGGTGTTGTCGCCAATCGACGCAGAGTTTCCTCAAGACGCGTACATGGACGATGAAACATTTGCCCGCATGCTCGCTGCTCAGGAAAATCCTACCCCCACTCAGACCTCATTCCCGCCGGTGAATGGGAACGGGTCCGAACCCGATGCGGAGGCCGATGGCGTCTATCCCTCCGCACCAGGCACTGGTTTGGCTGCGGACGAAAAGTTCGCTCTGCAATTGGCTGCGGAGGAGGAGAAGCTTGCGCGAAAATCTCAAGACAAGCCTCCAGAAGAACCGCCCGACATTCCTGTCGACACCAAACCCTCGTTGCTTGGTTTCCCGAAACTTGATCCATCAGACTTGCCTCGAATAAAATCGGCAGGCGCTGAGCTGCTAACATGGATCGACAAGTCCATGGAAAGCCCCACACAACCTATGCGTCCTGCTAGTGTGGACGCCGCGACTTTCCGGTCAACAGCGGGACTACTGTCGCCAAGCGAGAGCCTTTCTGTGGGGACTCCCAGCAGCGAGGAGAGTGACGGCGGGCGGTCGATCACCGCGAATCAGTATGTCGACTCGGACCTTTTGCGAGGTGTTTGTGAGTGGGTTCTCTTACATTCCACGCTCCTGTTGTTCAACGTTTCTCAGCCATTGGCTTCGTGGCACCATTCATAACCTCAGACTTGGTCCCTTTACAGGGTTCGATGCCCAACATCGTGTCGCTGCCATATGGGCGCTGCCCTCCACTTCATCTGCAAGCGCCCAGCTGGCGACATCTTTTGAAATTGATGGCTAGGTTAAGCGGAACGAGATTCGAACCCACAGTGGAGGCATTGGCGGTCGCTCGGTCGTCCCAGATGCATTTGCGAACAGTGGTCCAATTTGTCCGGGTATGTTGTGCCAAACTTGTGACGTTCTCTGTCCGACTGTTATTCAGCTACATCACACAACGACGGACTGGAGGACCGTTTTGTGGTTCACCATTGATCATCCTGTTCCTGGCTCGATGCCCAACTCGCGCAAGTACACCAACGGCGACGTTGACGTACTTCCTTGGTCGTACACACTCTCCAGTCTCCCTGCTCTCCTCCGCGACAGCTCGGACACGCCGTTGTCTAAATGCTACACCATCCCGGCGACGACCAACGTCCCATTCCCTGCACTTCCGATTTCTTTTCCGAACATGGCTTTGTACCTTCAAGCGGCTCTTGAAGAATCGCGGCGATTTACGAGCGATAGTAGCAGTGGAATGCGGAAGCTAGCAAAAATGGTGGAGACATGCTACCCAGCTGCGTCCGATTCTAAAAGCGAAGACGAGCGCAGCAGGATGGGAGGACTGTTGAAGAAGTTTCGTGGGGGCAGGAAAGATAAAGGACGGAAAGGCAAGGGTGGGGGAAATGAGGACACTTATGAGCTGGTTACACCATTCGTACTGGATGAATGGGGTGTGTAGCGCTAATCTAGACCTGTATCTGTACTGCTAATAATTGTAGCAAAGCGAGCGTTACAAGCTTGTCACACGTGCCTTCATGGCTACACAAACCATCGTTCCTCTGACCACAGAGGAAGAAGGTATCTTGCGTTTCTCGTGTTTATCGTTGCAGCGCTGAGTGTCGTTAGACCAGATCATTCTTGCACGCATAACGAACGACGAACGACCACTGCGACGGGTTATCAAGAAATTGTACAACTACACTGCCCTCGCGCATCCGCCCATCGTGCCGCAAATCCCCGCACCGGGCTCGTCTACGCCTGCGCCGTCTGCGGATGATGCACGCGAGGCTTTCTTGGTCGAGCTCGCGTCGTTCAGGTTGATGTTGAGGAAGAGTGTTATGATATGCGAGGCAGAGGCTAGACAGGTTGAGGAGTACCAACGCGAGAAAGAGCGGATAGGTCCGTGGGTTTACACCTTCCCACCATTCACGCTTAATTCCTTGTGCGTTAGATCTCGAGCATGGTACTTTGCGCGGCCGGATTGAACAGCTCAAGACCGGATTGGAGCACGAACAAATGCTGCGACGGAGAAAAATCGAGTACGACTTTGTTGCGGAGAAGGTCAATTCGCTGCCAAGCCGCGAAGAATTGGAACTGTACGCGTCCTTCCTTCATGGTGCATGTTCTAGCCAACACTGTTTTGTTGCAGGAGCATACAAGCCCTCGAAAACGATATGTCTACTATCCGCGCGGAACATGAAGCTCAGGATCGGTCGATTCTCGCGCAGACGATCTCGCTGGATCAAATTATTAAGAATCTCGAAGCTCTGCGGTCATTGGGAAGGGGGGACCAGGAAATCGCAGCAGGTGCCGATATGACTCCACGAGACAGTCCTGGTCCAGAAGGTAGTGGCGACGCGCCCACCGCTGTTCCAGAGGTGGAAACCGCGGTACCAGAAAAGATGGAAGTCGAGGAGGGTGAGGAGGAATCTGTGGGTCCGTCGAAAGAGGATGGAGAAGGAGACGACGACATCGAGATGGGTGAAGTGGAAGAACCCAAGAAGGGCAAAAAGAAAAGGGAGGAGGAGCTGGAGGAAGGTGAAGCAAGTGACGGCAGTGATTTGAGTAGTGTATTATCAGACGTCCCCGACCATATCTAAGTCGGAGGAACTTCTACAGTATAGCTCATCAAGTCGCGCGCACATATTACCTCGCCGCCCGACACTGCGGCTGCGAGCCCTCGGATTGTATCCATTATTGCCCTGGCGGCGGGGTCAATGTGGTCGTCGCCGGCGTATTTCGTGGAGAAGTGGTTCAAGATGAGTGTTTTGGCTCGAATACGCTTGGCGAAGGCGCCGGCCATCTGTGGTGTGGAATGCCCTCGGGATTTTGTCCTCTCTTCGATTAAGTCGTACGTTTCCGTGTCCTTGGTTCGGTGATCGACGCCTGGTAGATGCGCATTCGTGGCCTCGTGAATAAGCAGGTCGGGATCGAGTGCTAATGGCTCGATGAGCGAGGGGTCATATGTATCCCCCAAAATGACGAGCTTGCGGCCCCGTCGACGGGCTGGACCATGGAGAACAGTGCCATCGGCCAGTTGTACACTCTTTCCTTGTTGGATAGCGCGCATGACGGAGACGGGAGTATTCGTGCGCTTGATTTCGGGAAGGTACATTTGTGGGTCGACCTTGCCAGGAAGAGACGGTTCCTCGACGACATATCCGACGCAGGGAACCGAGTGCAGAATCGGCCCAGCGGAGACCGAGATGCTTCCTTCGCTGAAGATGTCTCTCCAGACTCCGTCTATTTGGGGGATGTTGCGACCAGAGGGCGATTCTGAATAGTGGCGGCGCAGATTGGTAAAGTCGCCAGTTTTGGGGTCTTCTGGCATCCGGAGTTCGTGCACGACATATGCGTTGCCCAGCATGGTGTAGGTGTGAAACAGGTTCGAGCGAACGTAGGCACGAGTTCCGAGAGGCCCGTAAATCTCCAGAACCTGTTCTGCAGTTAAAAGGCAGGCAAGAACAGACGCGCTTTGCTCACTGGGTTGTCCACATCCACAACTTGTCTCGGATCCTCCTCCCCGTCGGTAACTCCACCGGCTCCGTTCAAAAGGCCAGCCATAAGAGGTACAATGCCGAACACATGGTCGCCGTGAAGGTGGGTTACGAAGATCTTGCTTATTTTTCCCATTTTGACCACGCTCCTCTGCAGCTGCCGCTGTGTTCCCTCTGGAAAAAAATTCAGTCACTCGACGCGTCTCTGCACAAACCACCAACACACCTCCACAGTCAAACAACCAGACATCGCTTCCTATACGTAGAGCAAGTGAGGAATGGCTCCGCGTCGACGAGGGCATTGCAGAGGCCGTTCCGAGGAATGTTAGTTCCATCGGGTGGACTTGGTGTTGTTGTATTTGTTGTTTGGCAGACATATGGAACTGTTTTACAGGCAGAGCAAAAAGACAGCGGTGGGTGCCGAAAGCAGCTTTGAGGTTGGTGGCTATAAATGCCATATACGACTCGTCATGACTGGAAGCGGACAAAAAAGGGGTCACGCAGCGCCGAATGATCACGCAGAAATTTTTCCCTCCACCTGCTCCTACCCTCTTGAAATTAAGCTGTAACCTAGTATGTACCGCTTATCCGAGTGTGCCTAGGAAGATTTCAGGTGCTCCGAAAAAAAAAATTGGCGTCAGCATAAGATCGTGCAGCCAAAAATCAGTTGTTCTGCGCCGAAACGATTTCTCCCCCGGTTTTTGTCCTTTCACTCCAAAATTTTGAAGAGGGCATACTGAGACCCTTCTCAACGTTCCATGGGTTCGAAATAATATTTTCGTTTGACGCTCCATGCAGGCTGTGACAATTGGTGATCATTTCGGTTCGCCCGACTGACCTCGCCAGTACTCAACAATGAAGCAACCAGAAAATTTGAGATTTGGATATGTTGTGTAGGAGAGTATGGACTATCGATATAGAGAAAAATATGGGCCCAAAGATGTGAGTAGCCATCTGAATGTTTGCGTTCGTGATCACGGTGTCAAAATGATACCGCCCGTGGCCACAAAAAGCATATGTCCATAGCCTGGATCGAACAGGCGGCTCCTCGGAAGTCCAGATAGGTCCACAACGAGGTGATTTAACCACTAATCGATATGGACCACCAAACTCATGCTCAACTAACGCTAGGACCCCTCTGAATCGTCCTGGCGCCCGATTTGCAGTGAAGAAGCGTCGACGAAAGGTTCAACGAGTTCAAGGGGGGTCCAAGAGTCGAATTTCGGATAAATGGTCGGTTTTAGATGTAGAAATAGGCTCAGGCTCGACTAACGCTAGGACCCCTCTGAATCGTCCTGGCGCCCGATTTGCGGTAGAGAAGCGTCGACGAAAGGTTCAACAATATTCCAAGACATTCCTGAGCTCATGGCTACAGAGGAGTGACCAGAAAAGTTGGACGAGGACTGCCTGAGTCCTATGAGCGTAGGACTGAGTCCTGTGGGTGTAGGATAAAGCTTACCACGAGTTGCCATACCTGCGGATGTCTGCACAGGTACCTGTGGAAAGAACCCGCGGGTTTCAAACCCGCGGATACAGGTACCCGTTTCCCACGGATGCCACGAGTACAGGTATGGATTGAGCAACATCTCGGAGGTCATTTGCAAGCTCATCTCCCTATGTAAACCCATTAAGGAGCCATTAGATTGAACAACTCAGCTGTAGGGAAGGTTCATCTCACTCATCTACCATAATATGACGGCTGCGGACCCTCAGAACCTGTATTCAGCCCAAAAACCCACAGGTTATCCATGCAGGTACCTGTATCCGCGGATACAGGTATCTGTTTTCCCACGGATGGCAAGAGTGGAGGTATGACTTTTTAGGACCCAAAAACCCGCAGGTATTGCAAGGGTTAAAGCCCGTGCAACTCGTGGTAAGCTTTAGCGTAGGACTGGCTGCCGTAGCTCATACACATCTGATGTTACCCCCCAACAGGAAAAGTCAAGAACAGCTTCACAGTCCCACAACACCAAGGGCAGACCAGGACACTCTCCTTGCAGCAGCAAGTCTCGAGAGTCTCGCTCAAACGTGCAGGACAGAACCCGCAGCCTCATCAGGGCCCAACAGGGTGTTAGCTGGGATGGTCGGGTTCTACAACAGGAACTCGGAGTCTAGCACCTAGCGTGGACAGCAAGTCCAATATAAGACCATGAGGAGTAAGGCCATGTGTTGGACAAGGTAGAAGCTAGAGCTCCTAGCTTCTTGACCCCTTCTTATACTGACAGGCGGGCAACCGTTAGACACGTGAAACATTAGCGAGATCCGCGTATTTCCTGATTTTGATGGACACTAGTATCCCGGAGGGCGAGCAGGACGAGCGCAGAGACGCGTCTAGGCGCGTTCTAGAGCATTCTAGCATGACTGCGGACGTGGAGGACACGTAGGCAGCATTATGTAATCTGGGGGTATATAAGGCCCACAGATTTTGTAGTCGAGAATTGAATAATACCCCACCTTTTACCCCACTATTTCGCTCTTTTGACTCTTCGCTTCGTGCTGAAGCCTGACGCACCTCACCGACCCTGGAACGTCGCCCTCGTACGATGGAGCGACCCACGGCTGGACGACTTCAACCTTCACAGTCGACGTCGATGGTGATCTTGACGCAAGCCTTTGTATTCGCATTTGCGCTCGCTTTCTTGATGGTAGGATTAGGATGGACGACAATTGAGGGATTGGTTTGGTTCTGGACTGGATTGGGAGTTGGTTATGGGATTGGGATTGACGAGAGGTGGATACGACGACGATGGTGGAAGGAAGGACAATGGAGGGGTATTCTAGACACTATAGGCATGGTTGGAGACGCGCTGGTCACGCTAATACACTGGTTTTCTTTCCCGATACTAGCGCTAGCACTTGCTTCCCCTTCGACGACACTCAGCCAGATTGCAGCACGGATATACCTTCCGTGGACCCCCGACTTTGCGCGCGTTGGATTGGTTGTTTTTGGTGTTGGTGGATTCCTTTCTGCTTTCACCTACGCACTCAGCCTCCGCGTTTCAATACTGCTGGGGATCTATATGCTATCAATCGGTAAGTATCCTATCAATCCCTCCTACATGTCCAATCCTCCCCTCCCTGCCAGGCCATAACAGCGGTTGTCCCTGCCCTTGGTATATATATCCCATCTCTCCGTTAGAGGAGCTCTTTGGAAAAAGTTTGGACATGCCGCTTATGACACGAACTGATGGCATGATGTGTATGTGATGCGCCATTGGTCGGTTTCATGACACATATGTTTGGTGCCGATAACGCACCAACAGCTCCACCAATTTTTGACCGAAATCATCTCAGGTTCCATGGATTTGAACCTCCAGTCTTTCCTCCAGAAGCAAGCAGACACAGCCATGCAGAGTATAGAACTCCGAACCGCACCGTATACAGGTACGGCCGTCGGCAGCTGGACAGCCATACCCGTGCAGTACCAGTGCAGACGAAATCTCTCGAGATGAAACCTCTCGACGGTACGGCCCTATATTGCGGAGAACCGTACAGTATATGGCTCCAATACGGGCTCCAGGTGAGGTTTTGGGCTAGATAAATTTCAGAACGGTCAATATATATCACAGGAAGAGTGGACACACCTTTATGGACAATACTGAGCCGCAGAACCCGCCAAAAATGCAGAAAGCCTGCGATACGGGTGCGTGGACCTCCCGTTGCCCGTACCGTAAATTGTATCGGAAGTAGTGGTCCGTCGGGCCGGGCAGCCCGGGCCCTGCCCGAAATCGGGCCTGGCTTTGGCAGGCTCAGGCTCAAGGAATCTCAAGGCTCGAGCCCTAAGCCCGCCCAGGCCCGGCCCGAGCCCTCGGGCTTTAAGCCCGGGCCCGGGGCGTTTACAACAGAAGCCCAATGCCGGGCTTGCCAAAACTCAAGGCCCGAGCCCCAAGCCTGCTCAAGCCCGGGCCCTGCCCGCTACCGGGCTCGGGCTGCCCGCCGCCAGGCTTGGCCGGGCTTTGGGCTTTGGGCCCGGCCTGACGGACCACTAATTGGAGGGGTGATACGGTACAGAGAGAAACACCCGTAACGTACAGTCCACATTTACGGTTACTGTTCGGAGCCCTAGTAAATCGAACCAGAGAAGACATCTCTATGGATGTGCTGAGGGATATAAGGATCATTATGTCAGTATGAGCAGATGCGGTGGTGATGGCACTTGGAAAACCAACTCGCAGAGGTGTTAGTATCTCCATCCCAGACTCCCAGCGAAGATCGTGGCTTTGAATGGATGACAGCTCCTATGGGGGTTTCTATTGGACAAAAGTCCGTGATCATGCATGATCACGCATGACTCATGCATGAGTGCGTGATCACAGTGTGATCACGGGTGAGTGAATCGTGAGAGTGCATGATCATGCAGGAATAGCGCATGAGCCTCACGCGTGCCTCACGGATTAGTTCCTCTTTATAGGTGTCGACCTTGGACAAAAATCTAGATTTGATTGAGCGTTGCCAGAGCTTGGAACTGGACCGTGAACGGACCGTGAATGGACCGTGAACGTGAATCAGGACCGTGAATAGGGTATTCACGACTTAAATTCAGATTCCAAGGAATTTGAGTTCAAGATTGAAGATGTGCAGAGTGAAATCTAAAATTTTTGAGATTTTGTAAAAACTTGATTTGGCTCTGATCAATTCTGAATTTCGCCGCCACCCACTCTTGACTTTGATTCTGTTTGCCTCAAGCTCAAGACATGGACGAACTCATTCTTGCTCATCACCTCATTCACCGTCTGACCGTGAATCCGACCGTGAACGTGCCAATCGTGACGACACCGCAACTGCCATCACAAGGCCTTGTCTCTCTCTCCCTCTTCAATGGCAGGGCCGTCGTCAGCTCTCAACGGCCTCTCCGCTGACGGCGGTCCCGAGCTCATCCCCCTCCGCCTTGAAAGCATCCGGATAGCCTTCCGACAACTCGGTCAACGCGTAGATCGTGCTCTCCATACGCAGATCGGTGACCGAGCCCGCTTGCATGAACAAAACAGCAGTGTCTTTGTCTTTCTCCAGGCCGTTCAACAGGTGCATTGTTATTTATTCTCCTGCAGTGTTAATAACCTCACATTCAGCATGCCGATGTTATCCCCGTGGCAGAGCGGCAAATAATGGAGCAGAGTGTTGATGCCATGCTGGAAGCTCTCGGCACCCTTCAGTCTCAGACGACGTTACCGAGCCCGCTGTTCAAGTGGCACATACAGTCCGCACTGGCCGTCCCGGTCGCCCTCGCATCGAAATTGACCACAACTTCCTCGCCTATGGGCTTGAACTGCGGGGTCCTACAGGTATTGCACCTGTTGCTGGAGTCCATCCACGCACTGTTCGCCGTCGCGCTCTTGAATACGGTCTCGTTGAGCCCGCTGCACCTGTTTACACCGAAACCATTGACGATGAGACTGGCGAGACGGTCCGCACATACGTGTCATCAACGTCTGGACCTGTCTCTGACATCGACGACACCGCACTCGACGAGCTCATGCATCATACCCTGGAGCTCTTTCCTACCTTTGGTCGTCGGATGATTGATGGTCACTTTCGGGCACTCGGGTACCGCATTCCGGCATCTTGCATTCGCGAGTCGTACCATCGCGTTCACGGGCCTCCCGTTTCTTACGCTAGCCATCCAACTGGCCGCCGGCCCTACCAAGTTGCTGGTCCAAACTCCTTATCCCACCACGACGGACAGCATGGTCAGTCTCTCTCTTTCTCCCTTTCAATTTGTGCTTACATGGTGAAATTGTGAAGGTCTTCGTCGTTGGCGACTTGTCATACACACCTTCATCGATGGCTTCTCCCGGTTTGTAACTGGAATCCGCGTCAGCGACAACAACCGAGCGGACACCGTCCTCGACCTCTTCCTTAATGCTGTCATAGCTGACCATGGAGTTCCTTGTCGTGTGCGTAGCGATCATGGAACAGAAAATGTACGGGTTGCGGCATGGATGGAAGAATATTTTGGACCAACACATGGCGCGTACATCTGGGGTCGGTATGTCTATTCAATTTTCGATTCAGATTCAAATGCTTATGTTGTTGTAGGAGTGTTCATAACATCCGGATCAAGCGTCTTTGGTGCGATCTAACCCAGGGCATTGGTCGCAAATGG